CACCCCAGTTACTTAATTCCAGGGCTAAACCAAGGTTCTTTYGCTCTGGGTAGACACAAAGGAGAAAATCCCAACCAGATATTCTCAAGGGGTAAAAAACATGTAACAGTCTACCAGCAAAGTATAGAAAATTAAGGAACATTGGTGAAAGAGTAAATGCAACATAACATTACTTATCACAGCATAGACAAYCCACTGAACATAGAAAACCTTTAAACCATTTGATGTTACATTCTGTGAGAAGAGAGTTGGAAGAAGAAAGGGAGAAAAACAGACAGGACGGGTACAGAAAAAATAGACATAGCTACCAACTCCTGACTTCCATTGATGTAAAACTCCAAAATGAAGGTAGGGCTAAAGGACATTGTGCTTTCCTCTTGGTCACGGTTCTTAAAGCCTTGGCCCATCCTGGGCCCTCGTCCCAGGTGGGACTTTCAGCCTCTTGGCACTCAAGGGCTGGGTCAGGCAACACTGGGGGGCTGCCTCCAGTGTGCTCTGACTGATGGACCCTGCAGGGCTGGGGGGACAGGGCACCACCTCAGTGGAGCAAAGTCTGACCCCCTTACCATACATTCCAAGCTTGCCAAGATGTCCCAAGACAGATTCCTTTTTCCAGTCTCTGACAGCCTGCCACAGGTAGTCTGGGAAACAAAGGGACAAGATGATGGCAAAAAGAACCCTCCCAGGAAGGGAGGAGTTTATGGAGCAGCTCTAGTGGCTGATGAGAAGTGCCAACTGGTGTGAGGTTAGTCCTGCCAGATCCTCCTGCTGCCCACTGGGCTCTGCTGGTGTTGGYGGTGCCATCCTCCTGCCACGTGTGTGTCAGGGCCGAGAGAAGCAGTCTGTTGGTGCCAGCAAAGGGTGACCCGGCTCCAGGGACCAGCTCATTTTGCAAAATACACTCCAAAACAGTTTTTGGTTGCAAAATGCAGGTCTTCTGAGTGGGTACTGTTGCAAGCTCAGAAAAACAAACAGAAAACCAAACAAGTAAAAAATCCAACTGCCCAAAAGAACTCTCTCTGAAGCAAAGCCTCCACCTTCAGCAAACACTGCCAGGCAAAATAGAAGGTTGGCTCTGGTGCCCCAACCTTGTAAAGGAAGGGACACCTCCCAGCTGCCCTGTAATTCCAGTTCTTGCCGTGCTGGGTCTTAAAAAGACAGTAACAATTTTAAGGCACAGATAGGTATGGAATAAAATAACAGTTTGGGTTTCCCACAACAAGCATTTAGCCTAAACTCAGTTCTCAGATTCCTTTTGAACAGACTCATAACAAACAGAAGTTATCTCTGTTATAAAGATGAGCTTAAATAAAGGAAAATTCAATCCTTTATGAAGACTGTTAAAATCAAAACTCCTTTTTGTCACATTTTCATAGATTTAYAACTCTGTAACCTTTTACAGCTAACTTCATAACCATAACCATATATCAGAAAATGCCTAATACATTTTTCCCTTGTAAAAACTTAAGGTTAGTGTCATMTTAGTCAGCAAATTTTCAGCTCCTTCCTTTTTATGATTATCATGATCTTCCAGCATAGTTTTAGCGATGGATTTTCATTTTTCCYACTCTATGACAGAAACAGCATGTAGAGATGACACATTCCACTATAGTGGCAGTGATACTGACTAAATGACAATCAAATTATGTTCAAAAATGCCAAAATCATTMTGTTAGTTTTACAGGAAAAAAACAAAAGAAAAATTTTCCTCAATAAAACTTTATTATTTGAAAACATTATAAAATTTCTCATAACTGTAACGTAAATTTGTTCATTTATTAGTATGATAAACTTGGTAACAGCCAGGTTACCAAGTAAAATTAATAGGCTAGAGTAGATAAACAATTTGAAATTTTATCTACCCATTATCTTAATTGCAGAATTATATGTTTTGCGAGCCACCAATCCTGTGAAAATTAAGATCTTATCTATAAGCTACATTTAAGGACATGACATTGCAATATATTTAAAATATTAATGACTGCTACTACTATATAAAAATACACATGTTAAAGATTTTCTTAGATAAAACAATCATCAATTGTCTCTATAAGACACGAGGACAGGGCATGTTTTTCCAATATAATTTTTATTCGCATGATGAGTTAACAATCACATATCTTGGTGCAACTCCTGTATTAACTTTTTGAATAATGTGTTGGGAAATGTATAAGATACATATTCAATTGGTAAAAATTACAAATAGCTATGCAATTTTGAGGGATTTGGTCTAGCCATTTTCGTCTTTTCATGGGAGAAAGAAGAAGCCATTTTCCTGAAAAGACATTTTCCTGCCATTTTCCTGCCCCTGTTAAGCCACAGGAACTGAGGCTAAGAAGGTTTTCTTTGTGAACATACTTAAATAGAGTGGTATTAAACTTGCATGCTCGCTTTGTAAAAACAACAGCATTGCTRACAAAATCCTTCATAACTTTTATGTGACAGTTCAGAAGGACAAACCTTATGAAAAAACAGATAATTGATGGTTTTATCTTCTTATAGGAAAGAACTAGATTTTACCAAATGAAATATGGGTAACTGCCTAAATGCAGTCAAAGACCATCTTTGAAATACTTTGCWCAGGAATGTGTTTGAAAAACTGCCTCCCTGGGACAATGAATATTAGGAGGGTATTCTTTTTTTTTTTTTTCAGTCCTGAGTCACAGCACATTACAATTTTTTTTTTTTTTTTTAAAAAGGGAGATGGAACAGAATGMTAAGAGCTTAAATAAATCCATCAACCCAAAGGAGTACTTTTGCAAATTTCTGTGGTTAATTTCATACACTTACTTTGTCTCAGATTTTTATATTTGAAAATTTYTCATTCCAGAACAAAAATAATGCAAAATGGCCAAGCTATTTGCATGCCCTGGACAATATGCATGTGATGACTAAGTAGAATCTCTGCACAATTTTAGTATTACTGATGCATTTCTTTCTCACAATTTTTTTCCTCAGTCGTGATTAATCTTGGTAAACTGAGCTGTTGCAAGGGTGTGTTTGTTCTGTGAAACACTTAATGAGCACAAGAGGGGTAGTATAAAATAATAATAATAGATCAAAAGTACTAACATTTACTTTTGGCTTAGTAAAACTGCCTGATAAATTATTCCCTTCAGTATTTCTCTGTTATTGCAACACAGTACCTTGAAAATGATATATTGGCACAAGCCATTGTGTTCTACCACAGTGCAATTAGGAGGTCCATTTAAACAGCTTTATCATATGCACACATAGCCTGATTAATTTTCTAATCAAATGTTCCAGGAAATCATTAACCATGACATTAAACAGTGTTCTGCTAATTATACTCTCCAGAAAGAATTCCAATATAAATTTACAAAACATCTATAGAAAGGTTCCAAAGGATGAACAGTTTAACGTATACAAATAATTACGGCATCTACTCTGCGTGGCCACACAGCTCCCTCGCCCTGCAGAGGTTCCGTTTGGGGCTGAATTCTGCCTGTTTCACCAGAACTCTGTGTACTGGCAGATATTACATTTTGTAGGTTACTGCCTGTGTAAGTTGTGGTGAAGGATGGAATGACAGAACACAAAGGAAATGTTTCTGTTTTAGAAAATACTCTAGAAATATGAATGCTGACTGTTAGACTTCCTTTTCTTAATGACACATAACACTGAGATTTAGAAATAGATTTTCTCCAATTTGCATCATTATTGTAACTGCTCTTAATTTAAAATAAAGATAAATGCAAGGTATTGACTATAGTAATGAGAATTCAATTGCCTTGTAAACCATATGCAATTTGCTAGTTTACAGTGTAATGTAATCCCTATTTATGTATTTCCCAATAAACCACAGAGTCTTGCAGGTCTTTCAGTGACAGAAAACAACAGATTGCATTAAACAAATGCAGACTGTAGGTACACCTGTTCTTTTGGCCTTGGCAGCACAGTTAACAGCTCCTCCACACACACTGTGTCCATCACAAAACAGAAACTCGGCTGCAGCAGGATCATGGAAACACTGCCCCTGTTTTGCATAGGGACTATGTCTCTTCTGTGTCATTCTGCTTTCTTAACCCAATACCACCAAGATGGTAGAAAAGTAATATGAGAAGTATCAGTTATATAGAACATAGACACACAGACACATATATATATATACACACATATATTTGTGTGTACATATATACATATACACATATATATACTCATATATACATACATACATACATATATATATATATATATATATATATACACTGTTCTCTACAACCAGAACCAGAAGGGACATTCTACTGAGGTGGAGGCCCATCTCTACTGTGACTGCAATAACAGAACCAGAGGAAATGACTTTAAGATGAGACAGGAGAGATTCAGATTAGATTATTATAGTTTTTTTTTTTTTTTTCATTTCTCGGATGGTCAGGCATTGGAATAGGTTACTTGGGGAGCTGATGGAGTCACCATCCCTGGACGTGTGTRAGAGGTGGCTGGATCTGCGGGGTGATGTGGATTTAGACTGGATCATCTTAAAGGTCTCTTTCAAACTTGATTCCATCATTTTATATTACAGTATATATTTACATATAAAAGTCAGTGCTCTAATTATATAAGAAGGCCATATAGAAATAGATGAACCACTTTCCACCTGTCAGACAGTGGCTGGAKGTATGAAATCGGAATTTTTAACAAAACCACTTGCTGGGAATCGACATCCTGGGGCAAACAGGTGAGGGACCCGCCCCCTGTTCCGATGCTGAACAGGCAGGATCCAAACAAGGGAGGTGAGGAGGTAAACCCTCCCTTCCTCCGTGTGTGTGTTCCTGRAGGCGGCCGTACCCCATCCCGGTGGATGGACTGTCCCGTTCCCGCGGGCGTTGCCCTGGCGCGCGCGGGGCGCGGGCGGCGCGAGCCGCTGACGCACCGGGCTGGGCGCCGATCCCGCCAATCGCGAGGCGCCGCTCCCGCCGAGCCGGCGCCGATTGGCCGTGGCGGGCGCTTGGGGGCGGGGCCGGCGGTGGCGGGACGGTTCGGACGGCGGGACGCTCCGGGCTCCGCCGGGCGCGGCCGTTGGGAGCGCGGCCCCGCGCGGCTCGGGCCTGGCGGGATTAGGGGCTTCTCCTCGCTAAATCCTGCGCTGCGGTGAGACAGCGGCTTTAGCGCTGAGCCCCGCTCCTCCCCCCGCGGCACCCTGCCTGGCCAGCTAAGCCGCGCTAATCGCAGGCGCCCAGCTCGGCCGGGGCCGCCGGGCCTGGGCCCGATCGCGGCCCGCGCCCCCCCTGCCCATCGCCCTTCCTCGCCCGAGCGCGGCCATGGAGCCGCCGCGGCCCCGTCACTGCGCCCCGTCCTCGCCGCCGGGGCGCGGCGGGCGGGAGAACAAGGGGCTCCGTCGGAAGGGCGCGCCGGGGACCGGGAGCTCCTGCGGCTCCGAGGAGACGGTGGACAGCAGGAAGCCCAAATTCGTAAGTACGAGCCGGTCCCGTGGTGGGGCTGCCAGGAGTGGGTTCTGCCGGGCTTGTGCCGATGGGGCCCGGCCGGGCGGTGACACCCCCATCTCCCCCCCGCCGTTCCGTCTGGGGTCAGTCACTGCCTGGAGCGCCCCAAGACGGGGGTGCCGAGTGGCACCGTCACATTGAGCTGGGCTTCGAAGGCTGATCCCTCCTGCTACAGCTCGCCTCTTCCTTGGCCGTCTGAAAGGATGCAGCAAGTTTTCAGGTCTCTCCCAAAAGCTTCATCATAAAGCTTTATTGCCTTTATTTGCTGCCTGATGGGTGTGGGTGCAATGGGAGCAGAACAGACTTCCAGCTCTTGAATGGTGGTACTTCTAATAGGACTGTCGTGTTTTTAGATGGGTTTATTTTTTAACTTTAGTGGAAAATTCTRCAGTGGAAAACCAGGTCTTTGAATTTAAAAAACATAATAAATTTTTCTGTAGGGCTGCTTTTACAACCTTTTGTTTAGCAGCCAAGAAAGTGGGAAACTCGATATGGCTAATAATTGTCCACAATGTAATGTGTCTGCAAGATGTGCTCTGACTAAAGACTACCGAGAAATAACCAGTKTTTGTTTGGACTTGATGAAAATTCYRAACATKAGAGCTRGRACTGACATTTACTCTRCAGGCCTTGTATCCACAGAATCAGTTGGGTTGGAAAAGACCTCTGGAATCATCAAGTCCAATCTGTGSCCAAATACCACCATGTCAGCTAGATCATGGCACCAAGTGGCACGTCCAGTCTTTCCTTAAACACTTCAGGCACAGTGACTCTATCACCTCCCTGGGCAGCCTGTTAAAATGTCTAATCACCTTTTCTCTGAAGAAATTCCTCCTAATGTCCAGCCTAAAACTCCACTGGTGCAGTTTGAGACTGTTTCCTCTTAACCCCGTCCCTGGCTGCCTGGGAGAAGGGGCTGGCACCCATCTGGATACGCCCTCCTTKCAGGTAGTTGTATCCAGCAGTATCTGCCACATGCAGAGCAGATKCATCTCATGCTCTTATTTAGGTGATGCATGTTGATCTTTGTTCAKCTCTTTGAGCCCACCTGCTCTAAAATGTATTTATTACTTCAGTACAAAATAGATACCGTAATACTTGTATTAGACTATTGATTCTRAGGTGTATTTGCATAATATTCAGTACTTGAGTGTCTGGCCCTTGTGACAGGTCCAAAAAAATTAGCCAATAAGCAATATCAAACTGTAGGCTGGCCAGACCTGTTCTGGAAGGTCACAACTTGCTCCTGGAATATTTTTGTTAGTTAGCTGCACTCTCCTTGTAATGTGGCTGCAGAGATTGCTGTTTGAAGCATGCCCCTATGTCTTTTTCTACACGTTAGAATGGGCATATATGAAACTGACCATTTGCTTGGCTTCCTAAATCGCTGCCTATCTACTGGGGACACATGCATTTTAGTCATGCAGGTAACATGGCTGGACATGTGTAAGGCTCAAAAAGACTCACTCAATGAGGCTTTTAAAAAGGCTTGTGGTTTTTCCTGCTTTTTTTCCTGTGGTTTTTCCTAACTCTGAGTTAGATGCATGGGAGAAATAGGAACAAGATATTCTCAAGTGGTCAAAACAACAAAAAAACTTTACTGGCAGCCTCAGAAAATCAAAGAACTTTGGTAAAAGGTTTAGTGCAACATTCAGTCAAGATAAAACACTTCTCAAAGCATTAACTAAGCTATTTGACTTGGCAAACTTTAAGYCCATTTAAATTTTAAGTTRCTTAAAAATTCCAAGCRGGAATTAGAAGAAGAAAGAGAAAGATAGAAAAGATATAGAAAAAGATGCATACTGCTACCAGCTCCTGGGTTCTAGCAGCTCAGCTGATGGAAATTCCTAGGGGAGGTAGGGTCAAGACCTGTGCTTGTCTCATGTTCAGCTTTTAATATGCCTTTGCCTTCCTGGGCCTTTCCCTCATGTGGGCCGTGGGACTCCTGTTCATTTGGCCATTCATGATGTGGGTTAGGGGCTCCAGGGCTGGGGTGTGGAGGCCTTACCAGGGCAAGGCCCAAACTGCCGCCACTTCCCCCCACCCCCCAAAAAAGAAAAAAAAAAAAAAAAAAAAAAAGTCTTGACACCATTTCACAATATGCTTTATTATATGATCTGTGAGGAGAAACCTGTGTGGTCTGTCCACTGTAAAAGATTGGGTAGTGTTCCTGGTGTACGACCTGAGGGTTGGATTATTGCTTTGGTGAATGAGAGACATGGATTTTTGTGTGTTTGAAACTGACAAGAGCACTAGGTCAAGAGGTTTTTTTTACTATTGATACTTTAACTGCCACATTATTATACAGGTAAGATATTGCAGTGGCTTTCATTTTTYCCTCTAATTATATGTTAAAATAAGTGGTGTGTTGCCATCATGKTCAGTTTTGCTAACCATGTGTTAAAATGGCAGCACAATAGTAGGGAGTAGAACACTGACAGATATGTGATAAAAGCCATTGCGTTTTTTTTTTTTCTTAGATCAAATCTCATATTTTCAGTGAAAAAAGGCCTTTTCTTTGGTGCAGGTGGGCTTGTTTGGTATACATCTAGACTTTCCAGGCTATGCAAGGGTGACTTTGGGAATGTTTCAATATGGGCATCAGCTGACAGTTTTTTTGAGGCCACAGTGTTGAAGTCACATCTACAGAAAATGAAGGGAGTCGAATTCAGGGTTCTCACTCAGTGTTATGGGGTACATAATCATCTTGTAGGTAGGTAGGTTTTGTTTTCTTGTAGGTATGTGTGGGTTTTGATAATTTTTTTTGCCTTCCCTTCCCCTGCCCAGCTTCTCTTTAAGCAGGGATAACTGAGAAAGTCCTTAATTCATGAGAATTCTTTGTCAAACTGCAATTTTCAAAAATATTTCACCCTAGACAATTGTCCTATTTTTCATCTTTAAATAATCTCTTAAAGTAAAATTGATCCTTGAGTATTTATAGGGACTGAAGAATCATGGGTTGAGCATGGACGGTATTCTAGGTGTGCCATTAACTCACTTGGCAACCTTACTGCTCTCTCCAACTGCCTTGGAGGCTGTAGTAGGGTGGGGGTTGTCATCCTCTCTAAAGTAACAAGTGACAAGACAAGAGGAAAGGGCCTCAAGTTGTGCCAGGGTAGGTTTAGATTGAGTATTAGGTAAACTTTCTTCACTGAAAGGATGAGCTCTGGAAGAGACTGCCCAGAGAAGTGATTGAGTCACCGTCTCATAAGGTATTTAACAGATATGTAGATGTGGCACTTAGGGACTTGTTTAGTGACGCTTGGCAGTGTTTGGTTTATGGTTGGACTTGATCTTAGAGGTATTTTCCAATTTGACTTGTTTGCATCTAAGTCTTCCCATAATACATCTTCAGTGTAATTCTATTAGTTAAATTAGTTTTGTGTCCGAATGCGTAAAGCCCRCCTCTCACCCCTTTGGGCTCTCTGTAATCCAGTTTTAGATTTAGCTTTTGCCTTTTTCTGTATTTGGGGTGCTTAGAGTGCCACACCTCATGTTACCTCAGTTATGCTTCTATCTTTTGTACGTTTGTCAAATTAAATTAGCTGTTAGGTTTATTGATCTCAAGTAATTCAGATTGTCAGTGTAATATTTCTCAGTGTGCAAGGCTTGAAAATAAGTTCCAGGTTGTACCCTTCCAGTCAATGCAACGTATTGATCTGTCATGGCAGATATGCTAATCTGAAAAATAATTTGATTCCCTGACAAACCTTGAGGTGAAATCAGATTGCTGGTTGACAAAGGTGACATCATTAACGTGGACCTCCTTTTAAAATTTTCTTTTTCCCTTCTAAAGAAAATTCTTTTTTGACCAAGGAAAATACTGCTTTTTAAAACCCACTGTGTTTGAGGGGTGGAGCGGGGAGAAAGAGGTGTTAGAATCAACCACTAATTGTTTAGCCTGGTCAAATGAGGCCTTGAAGGACTCTTTCTGAATAAACTAGCTTCCCAGAAGGGAATTTAAGCTTCAGCTGTCTTGGTTCTTTTGAAGAATAATTTAAAATRTTTTTTAAAAGAAGTAATGACTCATTTTGAAGCATATACCAGCATGACTTTTTTTTCAGGACTTTTCCAAGTTATGGGAAGAGTGGGACTTTTAAAAGAGTAAAATAATTTCTATGGTACTGTGGTACTTCAGCATATTGAAAGCTCATGCATCTACCYTTGTGGTATAGGACATTGTAAAAATAGTAAATCTACTGAAGGATGGCAGATACTATACCTGTTCTCTATGTATACATTGACTGAGCAAGAAACTTCTGAAATTTGCTGGGGTAGGGTGGGGTAGAAAGCAATTGTTTTCCAGTTTCTCTCCTCTATTCCTCCCTTGCCTTAGAAATGTTTGGAAATCATTACACTAGAGTGCTAGATCATGTGACTTCCAATTGCACTTTACTGATACTACATCTTGTAGACACTAGTCCTCAAAAGATCAACTTCAATTTCTAGCTCAAATTAGAGGTGTTTCTATTAATTTTCAGTATACCACTGACCTGACTTCAATGACTTTCAGGTTATGTTTTTGATTAAGTTCTTTGTGAAATTTATGAGTCAAGAAGGGTTGCTTGTTTATACCAATCTGTTAAAAATAGACAAATTAACAGTTGCATTTAACAGTGTCTATAAATCAAAGAAAGATGTAGTTAAGAGGAAAAACACTTCCATTTCTCTGGCATAGAGTAGAAAGGTAAGACCAATCTGTGTCAATATCTTTAATTACAAAGTGACTGAATTATTGCTGCAGTTATGCTGCAGTGTAAGACCTTGAATCTAAATTAGTCTTTTAAAGAAATGATTGCTGAACAGATGTTACCTAAAACACTTTATCGCAGCTTTGTAAAATTGTAAATTCCTCATGCTGTTATTTTTGTTGGCATGAATTAATGCTGTGGGTTATGATATTAAATTTTAGTGCTGTGTTCTAGCACTTTGTTATATGATCTTACCTGTAAGCACCGATTTTGAGT